CATTTATTTGAATGTACACCCCAAATTTCTTCAAAACAAATAAAATAGCCTCTTGTGAAAACGTTAAAGACTATTAAATAATTGAAGAAAATGTTAAGTTATGCCACAGAGGTATCGGAATAAATGCTCTAAATATGTTTTATTTTTTTGACGTGACAACGTCTTATAATTTGATGGAGCCGGCTGCACGCACGAAAAAACATGACTCATGCGGCGTTACCTCGCTCTGAGGCGTTCCATTTAAGGCTTGAAGTGCAAGCGAGAGCGCGGAACGAGCGACAAAGAGGCACCGCGTTCGGCAGCGTTCGACATCTGTCTCTCTCCTACTTGAGTGAGCGATGCGTCCGCGTGGACAGCTGCTATACAATAATACATTTCCATTTACCTCCTTCTCTATATCCATACAAAATATCTATCAAACGAATAAAATTAAAACTTTCTTTTGAAAAATGAAACCATTCCATCAGTATTTTCTTATGACGTTGTCACGTTCAACTATCGTCAGTAAACCGACTTTACAGACAATCGATTTTTTTTTTCTTATTTGGGAAGTCTTTGTGAAAGAGGAGTATCGTTAGTTTATTCAAAAGATCTATAGTTTCCATTTCATTTCTATTTTTTCTTCTAATAAAGTGTAGAATCAAAACTGGATATGCTAAAAGAGCTTTTTTATTGTAAAATCAGTCGCCTTGAATATAACCCACCATGAAATGTCTTATATTCAAGGCAAAACGTCCTCAACAGTATAACCGCATTGAAGGGTTTCCCCTGAGGATGACAACCATAACCACTGGCGAAACGTAGGGTATACGATTCCATCGATATTCTCGCCGATCAAGAAGACCACATTCATCAATCCCGAATATCGTGATAACGTCGGCCGCTAAGGCCTTAGCCTTTTCATTTATACGAACGTTTTTTTATTCTCTTCTTACTCTCAAGCCCAATTTGAGACGGTATGAGGGGTTTTATCAAAAGAAACATTTATGATTAAGGACACGTTTTATGATGTAGAGACAAATATCATGTACCCCTGTCAAAACGAATAAACATAAAGATTAATATACGAAGTTACATGCGAGTTAGGATCATAACGTCGGAAGTTTCTCCAAGTCATACATCATAGTGTCAACGACGCGACCAGCCAAATACGACCTACAGTTATTCGATCTTGTTCATTGAAACAATGCATGCTTAAAGTCTCGAGACCTCCGAGACTGTACACATTTGCGTATCTACAACGACTACTTACACCGAGGAGACGAAATAATATCATTCCCGCCGGCAACAAACACCTAATACCACTACATTAATAATACCTCTCAGGTCTGTAGAATATTCGTCTGAAATGCGAAATGTAACTTTCGGCAGAATGTCAAGAGTAACGGAAATTCAAACGGAAACAGAGGTAATTTTACCGATATAAACTTCAGCTACGATAGACTGCTGTTTTGAAATCCTATTAATAAGCTGAAAGACTTTTGACATGTCTATTGTATGTAACTAGGACAGTGAAATTGATCAATATGTAATTAAAAGATAATTGGTAATGGTCAAGTCTCTAAGTAGCAACTTCTGATGTATGCGCTGCGGTTGGGGAAATGGGGTGCAGGAACCCAGGGAATCATAAGTTTTAGGGGGAGGGGGGGTAAAAGTTACCATACAATTCCATTATATTGAGTAGTGATGGACTGCCCCCAGGACTGACTAACCGCATCTGTCCAGATATTCTTTCTTCGCCGGATGTGGTGTTTACGACAACCTTTCTGAAGTTAGCTTCCCGAAATACTTAGTAAACTTTCACAATCCTGCCAACATTATTTTTAGGTTGGTTATAGTAATGGTTATCCTGATTTAAAACTTTATCTTACCGTTACAGTTGGCAGCATTTTAGTCCTCGAAGCAGGTTTATGGAGAGTGTAATAAATTCCACTTTTAGATAATCCTTTTTGGAACAATTATTGTATATCGTGATATTGGTTTTTATTAATTACCTACGAAAATAGGTTTTCTATTTCTCCACCATTTCTTTACCAATGTCCTTTCCATTCTTGTTGTGTTGTGTTCATGCCCTAATTCCAAACCTTTAATACATCGTTCGACGATTATCTATGTACTTAGTTATGCAGATCGTTACTCTTGCTTGCTTACTTTTCCAGTAAATTTACAATTAACCACAGGTTTATTCGTGAATTATGATCAGCTCGTTTCATATATACGAACTAGGTATTGCAACAACAATTTACTGTTCATACTCGAACATACACGCGAATAGATAGGATAGCTACTTTATCCAACATGGAAAAGAGAACAAAACGCAGTCGTGGACTAATAACTTGTTACACCGTCATGTCACGTACAACCTGTAGTATTAGGTGCCATTCCAAATGGCGAATTCATGTGATGTAATACGCGTATGTCGTCATACATATTCAGAATCACAAATTATCTACATTATGGAAATTACAGAGCAAGCCGATAGAACACTTTAAAAAGGGGTAGTTGCTACTTAAGCCTATTGTTATTCACTTGACTACATACATTTACGAAGTAGTTTCTGCTCGTAGCTTATCAAAATCAAAAAGATTTTTTAGAATCGACTGTGTGGCTCCGGGGACCACTCTTTAGATATAAACAAGCAAATTTTACCTCTTTATGTAATACCTCATATACAGCATACTTGTTACATATATGTTGTTGTATCTCTCATAATTTTGACACTGCTGTGTGGTACTAGATTGAATAGAACATCGTTGTTAGCAATAATGGTAAACAGTTTTCCAACTTTTGGATATTCATGAATCTTCAAAACGACTCCTCAAGATAATTTTTAGAAGCTTAAGGAATTATAATACTCACGATTCCAAATCAATATTGGAAAACAAAACATTTATCACACTTTTAATATATAAGAATGGATGATTCAATCCTTTCAAAAGCAAAATGATACAACTAGATGAAACTTTCTTATAGTTTGTTTAAAATGAAATCCAAAGTAGTTACAAGCAAGCTAAATTAGAAAATAGTAAAATAATGGATTATTATGGCTCATGATATTTAATGACTAGTTTTCTGGAAGCTGTAGTAGTTCAGCTCTTCTATTGTCGAAAATCCCTGAGACTGTCCCGTCAAATTATTGGCAAGACTTTATAAACTCGTTATAATTAAAATCAAAAAACAATTTACCCCAAAGAAGCTTTATTTCGTAACAGAGAAAAATTTTTTTATTATTATATGAGATATAGACTTTTCTTTGACTACTTATAATTCTAAATAGAAGAGAAAAATCTTCCTCCTTCCAAGCAAAATCTCATTTACCATACGATGTCTTTCAAAGTAACAGATATTTAACTAGGTACATACCTACAGCTACCTAAATACATACACTACCTGGTGCCGTGCAGTTTACCTTCCTAACAAGAGCTTGTTCTTGCAAAGTTGGAATTAAGTAGACATAAATTTAATGAACAACGAACATAGGCAAACAGAGTGGCAGGCAGTTCATTAAGATTCTCATCTCTTTCACGAAAAGGATTGTCCTAGGGGATTTGTTCAAATTTCATCCGCAAACAGCACGTCATTACGCCAGAGAATGAACTGGTACCTACCAGTTTTCTAAATATGCGCCAGGTACTCCCGCGAGACGAGGTGACACGTCTGCTTGGCGTCGGCGTCAACGTCGTTACCGTCAGCGAATGGGAAAGTTATAACCGAACGATCCGAAATTAAATACAGTTCTAATTGGGAAAATTATACCTCGGAGTGGCGCTTCAACGAATGTTCATAAATCCGGAAACAAATTTTGTTTTATTCGTGTCATTATTTTACTCAATACAAAGCAGTAAATTAGTGAGAATAACCAGTCGTCATGGTCACAAATATGCCCAAAATATGTCTTTAATGTTTTATAGTCCATAATCTGCCAGTAATTTATTACAGGCCAGACAGAAGGTGATTCTTCACTTTTTGTTGATATGGTGGCTTATAGTTGCCCGACTTCTTCGCTATAGACTATTATGTTGATGGATCATTTCTCCTGCCCAATTCTCCAGCAATCTAACTTTTTTAAATTATTGATAAATATAACGATAGGAGACGAAAAATTGGAAGAAGTGGCTGATTTTAGATATCTAGGAAGTCAGGACGGAAGGAGTAGTAGGGATATAAAGCAGAAGATAGCGCAGGGTCGTGTGGCGTTTAATAAAAAGAAGTCACTTCTATGCTCGCGAACGGTTAATTTAGAAATTCGAAAAAGGTTGTTAAGGGTGTATGTTTGGAGCACGGCGTTGTACGAGTGCGAAACATGGACAGTGGGCGCGGCGGAAAAGAAAAGGTTAGAAGCGTTCGAAATGTGGTGTTCTAGGCGGATGATGAGGATAACGTAGAAAAGGTCAGAAATGAAGAGGTATTAGAAAGAATAGGAGAACATAGGACTCTATGGAAGTCAATAAAAAAAGGCGAGATAGGTTGGTAGGACACCTTCTCAGGCATGAAGGTCTAGTCATAGACATATTAGAGGCAGAAACAGGAGTTAGGAGTGGTAGAGGTAGGCCTAGATTAGATTACTATTCACAAATAGTTAAGGATGTGGGCTGTTCTAGTCTTAGCGAAATTAGCTCAGGATAGGAAAAAGTGGAGGTACGTGTCCAACCAGTCTTATGATGATGATCCTATGATGATGATGAAATATAATAACTAAAATTTCTAATTTTCTAACTTAAACATACACTTTGCGTAAAATGACAGTAAATACTGTACCTTTTTAACCATCTCTCAGGAACAGTATTTTTTTTTAATAAAAGGTACCCTATGTTCCATTCTGTACTCCTGACAATATGTGTACAAAATTGCATAATGATCGGTTAACTAGTTAAGGCGTGAAATGGTCATGAACAAACAAGCTCATATTCGCATTTAAATGTAATATTAGATAGGATTATCATTTCTAAATTTGCCAAAGACAAAATGATTTTATAATTAAAAATCATCATTTTTTACAGATGAAGTATGCTGAAAACTATCATTTCAAGAACTTCAATACCTAAAGGAGCAGTTTGAAATCACTTACTTAAGGTAAAAAGTCACTTATTAAATTATTAAGTAATTTCTTCTATATAAGGGTAACAACATTAAGTAGATATATTGAGTTTATTAACAACAATTTTATTTTATTATTTTTCAACTGTAAATCTGAAATCCAAGCAGGTAATATAGTGAATAACCTTTTCTTAGACTTACGTTTAAGGGTTTATTTATGAATTGCGAAACTATATTTTGAAACATTAAGGATAACAATACCAGTATTTTACATGAAGAAGAATAAGTACTTACTAAAACCTTGGGCCTTAAAATTAGTCAAATTAAGTCTGGATTTTATTTAGTCAGTCACGATAAAGCTTGATTTCACTGATTTTATTAATTGTAAGTAAAAGCTCCCAACAACTATCAAAATTTTTGACAGACACTGTACAGTGTTAGTAGGTAGTAAATTTTTAAAAGTTTACATCATCAAAGACGTTTTTAAAAGTCTGTCTTGATTTAAAGTGCACATAACCAAACACAAAATGTGTTTTCAAAGGATATTTTCGAGACTAACGACGCTAAAACTTTTAAAGAAAGTCAAAGTTTAGTTACTAATTGTAACTTCAGGTACTTTAGCGGAAAGCTTTTGGCATTCTGAGCGTAACGAAATGAATATTTATCCGTAAATTTTACTAAGTAGACGATTTCTACACCTATATGCATACATACGTCGCACATATTATGAATGTACATATATATTACGGATTCCATCACATCTGCAGCTTTATTCCAACCACAAAAGCATCGAATATCCATTAACTACAGTTCATGAATAATAATGGTTGTTAACTATCCGAAAACTTGTTATTTAGAGGACGAAATCGATTCCAAAATTTGAATTAGAATACCACACAGTAAGCACATTCCTAATTCATTGTTAGTCGATAATGAAAAATTAAAGCGGTAACGATTTCTCGTATAAAAATTCTAACGCGATATCAAGTTAAAAAATGATGTCTGTAGAAATATTTTACATGATCAAGTTAAAAAATGGGAAATTTTTTACATGCTTTCTCAAAAATAAAATATAGATGTATGTCATTGTATATAAACTTTTTACGGGCCTTTTTAAGCTCTAAAATATTTCTATAGAAATCATCCATAATATAATTGTTACCGTTGAGTCAACGTTCGTAACACATTCGTCTTACGCTACGTAAGAAAGGTCCTTATATTTTAATGGAATTATAAGTAAGTAGCCTATGTCCACTCTGAAGATCTATTCCATATACTGGTGAAAGAATTTTTGAAATCGAATGAGTAGTTCGGGAGATTATCCGTTATATCTGAACATACTGCAGCGGGGTTCGTCGCTTAACTCACCGTTGATATCTCCGACACTTTTCTTCAAATAACTGAAAAACTGGACACCTTATAAAAAATTTTTTCGAGCAAAAATTATTCTAAAATTCAAGACCTATCTAACTGTATAAACGGGAAATCTTTATATTGTCTATTAAATGACCTATGACCCCAAAAACGTAAGAAATACTAATCAAATTAATCATTAGCTCTTCCAGCGACTTTTCCCGATTATCCATTAACCACACTTCACGGAAAACAATGGTTCCGAAAACTTGTTATGTAGGGGGCGAAACCAATTTCAAAATTTGAATTGGACTCCTACGTACTAAAAGCACATTCGTACGTAATTCATTGTTATCTAAGTAATGCAAAATTATAGAGGTAATGATTCTGTACTATCGGTCATTATCTATTAAAATAGTAAAAATTTTATGTGTTCAGTATAGTCCGCATTAAAATCAGTATTGCCTCCATCAATAACTATTACCTATACTTACTTATTTTTATTCAAATGCGCTCACTTAGGCATTGAACTTCGTAAAAGTATTTAATTTGCGAACGCATTATTCATGAAACGTTCGATCTAGCTTCAAATGAATTTCAAATAAATTACAATGCACTTTCGTTCCTCCATTTTCGTAATCAAACTGCTGGAGGTATGCAACGAATAGAATTTGGTAAATATTGCATTCATTTACTCGTGCCGTAACGTCGACGTTGTTAAAAAAGAATAAAACAAGAAAACTGCGATGTTGTTGAGACGAAACAAACAAACACAATCAATAAGTCGATGTACCGATGGCCGAGCTTCACGTTACATTATTACGGTTTCGTTGTGAAAATATACAGACTTCGACTTCGACTAATGTTCTCTTTTTCTTGTTTATTTGTCGCAGAATATTTACAGAAAACTCCACAATAGTTAGTGTTAGATTCAACTTCTTCAAGAAAACGAGAAAGCAAAAAAGCGAAACGCTCTCTTAACAGGGACAGCCAGACAAGGCACAGAAAAAAAGATAATTAAACAATAGTCAAAAACAAAGATTAATAATCTATAAAAAGAGGATAGCCGATAGTACAACATTCTTAAATTAATTAACCACTGAAATATTTAAATACAAAATGAAAAGTTACTGATAGGCCTACTTTTGATATCCAGGATGTTTTTGTTCAATCAAAAAATCAGCAATTTTGGTATAGATACGTATTCCAGTTGGAAACAAACAGTTGAATAGAAGTGGACGTATCTAAATGTCTCTATCAAGATATTACACAATTGGTAATATCCTGTGATTTCCGTATAAAATTGTGAAGTAAAGACAGACCAAGAGAGACAAAGCAAATGTGTGACAACAAAAAAGAAAGAGGTACTAGCCACACTGTCAATTTGTCTCATTCTGGAAGAGTGGTCACCGTTATGAGGTTGCCCATCATGAAAGTGTCTCCGAAATTAATTTGGACAGTTACATCATCATCATCACAAGATCGTCAGTCCTAAAACTGGTTGGACACGCACCTCCACTCTTTCCTATCCTGAGCTAATATTCGCATTTCCTTAAAACTAGAACAACCCACATCCTTTACTATTTGCGAACAGTAATACAATCTACGTCTACCTCTACCCCTCCTAACTCCCGTTCCTGCCTCTAATATGTCTCTGACTAGACCTTCATGCCTGAGAAGAATCTAACCTATCTCGCCTATTTCTTATTGACTTCCATAGAGTCGTCTGTTCTCCTACTCTTTCTAATGCCTCCTCATTTCTCACTTTCTCTATCCGCAGTATCCTGTTCATTCGTCTATAACACCACATTTCGAACGATGCTAACCTTTTCTTTTCAGCCACGCCCACTGTCCATGTTTCGCACCCGTTCATCGCCGCGCTCCAAACATACACCCTTAACAACCATTTTCGAACTTCTAAATTAACCGTTCGCGAGCATAGAAGTGACTTCTTTTTATTAAAGGCGACACGACCCTGCGCTATCCTCTGCTTTATATCCCTACTACTCCTTTCGTCCTGACTTATCTGGCTTCCTAGATACCTAAAATCGGCCACTTCTTCTAATTTTTCGTCTGTCATCTTTATATTCGCTCTTTCCCTGCTCTTTCTTCCCTTGCATTCCAGTATTTTTGTTTTCCTTTTGTTTATTTTCATACAGTACTGTTTTGTCAGTACCGCTTCCATTTTATTTAAAGCTATCTCTAACTCTCCCTTCCTAGATGCTAATAGTGCTTTATTATCTGCAAATCTAAGCATACTAATCTTTTACCCTGTATATCTATCCCTACGGTTGTATTGACCTTCCCCTAATAGTTCTTCCGCCCTATTTTCCATCCTCCTGTGTACAATTCTGGTTATGATTTTTGACGCATGGCAAGTTAAGCTAATTGTTCTAAATGTCTCGCACCTATCCGCGTTTCTCTTTCTAAGTATGGCCACTACCACGTTCCGTTTATAACCCTCTGGGGTCTCCCCGTCTCGTAAATGTGACTAATTATCTTAAACATACGGTCTCTGCCCTCTTGTCCTGCATGTTTTAGAATTTCCCCCTGTATCCCATCTACATCTGGTAGGTACTTTATTATTCATTAAGTTTTTTAATGCTACATGAAACTATTCTCTCATTATGGAATAATCTAGCTCATTTATCTCACTATCTTCCTTCTCTAATATATCTCGTGTTTTTTCTAACTCATGGCCTGCGTATAGGTTCTCTAAATATTCTTTCCAGCGTCCTTTTTTTTCCGAAACTATTGACGTAAAGCACTGCATTCTTCTCAGGGTTTCAATTTCAGGAATAAAAACGGTAGTATCTAGTATCTAGGAATATAGGTTATTAACTGGAGATAACATTGGACGAATAGGGTGGCCGAGAATCCAAGTATAATTTCTGGTTCTTCTGCCGTTAATGAAAATTAAGGCAGACTACTTTAACAGTGTTACAAGCAGGATATTTAAAAATTAGGTAAATGAACGAAATCCTTGCCAAGATCGGTACTTACGTCAAAACAGTTGCGGATTAATAAATGATGTAGACAAACTGCTCTCCGGGAGAAACTGGAGAAAACTTAAATGTTAGTTAAGTGGGGATTTAAAGGGCTGCCGTTGTCTACATTCGTACCATTCAGTAATTTAATTGTTACAGAAACAATAAGTTGAAAGCGGCTAAATGACGATTCCGCTGTGGGAGTTCGCGCCTCATTATGGCGTGTGCTGCGGCCGTTCGTCTTAAAATTTAATCCGAATGTTCTCCAAATAACAACTCCCCTCGACAACCGCTTGCAAACTTTACTCGAAATGACTTAGACTTAGACTTATTATTCAAATAATTATATCACAATTGCATGGTGTGATCAAAAAGTAGAAAAAGCTTTTTAAATGAAACAGAAACGGTATATAACTCTTTTTCATCCCCTTCAAAGTAATCACATTTGGATAGAATACAATCATGCCAACTTTTTTTCTACTCGATTTTCAAAATGGCCTTCACGTCATTCATCTATTTAACTTTGACTTCCTCAATTGTTTTACAACATCATCGAAGCATTTTTTGAGTTCTGGTAATAGTCAGATGGAGCTAAAACAGACAAACAAGGTGATTACAGAACATTCTGATAGTCACAATGGCGCTATTTTTCAATAAAATGACGGTTTTTTAAAACCCCGCGAGATATGACGCGTT